ATTTTAGCCACTCTGACCGGCGTGACTTAGTATCTCAGTATAGTTTTGATTTGTATTTCCCTGATGATGAGGGATGCTGAGCATCATTTCATGTGTCTGTTGTCCATCTGGATGTCCTCTTTGGAGAAGTGTCTGTTCATGTCTTCTGCCCATTTCTTCACTGGATTATTTGTTTTTCAGGTGTGGAGTTTAGTGAGTTTCTTATAGACTTTGGATATTAGCCCTTTATCTGATATGTCATTTGCAACTATCTTTGCCAATTCTGTTGGTTGCCTATTAGTTTTATTGATTGTTTCCTTTGTCATGCAAAGGCTTTTATCTTCATGAGGTACCAATAGTTAACTTTGCTTCCTTGATTTCCTTGCCTTTGGGGATGTGTCAAGTAAGAAATTACTGCAGTTGAGGTCAAGGAGGTTGTTTCCTGCTTTCTCTTCTAGGGTTTTGATGATTTCCTATCTTACGTTCAGGTCCTTCATCTATTTTGAGTTTATTTTTTTGTATGGTGTGAGAAAATGATTTAGTTTCATCCTTTTGCATGTTGCTGTCCAGTTCTCCCAACACCGTCTGTTAAAGAGGCTGTCTTTTTTTTCCATTAGATACTCTTTCCTGCTTTGTCAAAGATTAATTGGCCATACATTTGTGGGTCCAATTCTGAGTTCTCTATTCTATTCCATTGGTCTATATGTCTGTTTTTGTGCCAATACCATACTATGTTGATGATGACAGCTTAGTAGCAGAGGCTAAAAACTGGGATTGTGATGCCTCCTGCTTTGGTTTCTTCTTCAATATTACTTTGGCTATTCAGGGTCTTTTGTGGTTCCCTACAAATTTTAGGATAGTTTGTTCTAGCTTTGAGAAGAATGCTGGTGCAATTTCGATTGGGATTGCATTGAGTGTGTAGACTGCTTTGGGTAGTAATGACATTTTAACAATATTTATTCTTCCAACCCATGAGCATGGAATGTTTTTCCATTTCTTTGTGTCTTCTTCAAATTCCTTCATAAGTTATCTATAGTTTTCATCATGCAGATCTCCTATATCTTTGGTTAGGTTTATTCCTAGGTATTTTATGTTTTTGTGCAATTGTGAATGGGATCAGTTTCTTGATTTCTCTTTCTGTTGCTTCATTATTGGTGTATAAAAATTCAACCGATTTCTGTATGTTGATTTTGTACCCTGCAACATTGATGAATTCATGGATCAGTTCTAGTAGGCTTCTGACGGAGTCTGTCGGGTTTTTTATGTAGAGCATCATGTCGTCTGAGAAAAGTGAAAGTTTGACTTCTTCTTTGCCAATTCTGATGCCTTTGATTTCCTTTTGGTGTCTGATGACTGATGCTAGGACTTCCAGTACTGTGTTAAACAACAGTGGTGACAGTGGACATCCCTGTCGTGTTCCTGGCTTCAAAGGGAAAGCCCTCAGTTTTTCCCCATTCAGGATGATGTTAGCTGAGGGCTTCTCAACAAAATCAAGGCTTTTGTGATGTTTAGGTAAGTTCCTTCTATCCCGACTTTCTCAAGGGTCTTTATTAAGAAGGGCTCCTATATTTTGTCAAGTGCTTTATCTGCATCTATTGGCAGGATCATATGGTTTTTATCTTTTCTTCTGTTAATGTGATATATCACGTTGATTGATTTGCAAATATTGAACCAGCCATGTAACCCAGGAATGAATCCCACTTGATCGTGGTGGATAATTCTTTTTATACTGTGTTGAATTCAGTTTGCAAGTATTTTGTTGAGCATTTTTGCATCCGTACTCATAAAGGATATTAGCCTGTAGTTATCTTTTTTTTTTTTTTTTGCTGGATCTCTGTCTGGCTTGGGAATCAAAGTGATGCTGGCTTCGTAAAATGAGTCTGGAAGTTTTCTTCAATTTCTATTTTTTGGAATAGCTAGAGAAGAATAGGTATTAACTTTGTTTTAAATGTCTGGTAGAATTCCCCCAGGGAAGCCATCTGGCCCAGGGCTCTTATTGACTCCAGGGCCTGGAGTGCAATGTACTTTCCTCTTAGAACTGCATTTGCCACATCCCAGAGAGTTTGGATTGTTGTATTGTCATTCTCATTTGTTTCCATTTATTTTTTAATATCTTCTCTAACTGCCTGATTGGCCCATTTATTCTTTAGTAGGGTGTTCTTTAACTTCCATGTTTTTGGAGGTTTTCCAGACTTTTTTATGTGCTTGATTTCAAGTTTGATAGCATTGTGATCTGAATGTGTGCATGGTATGATCTCAATTCTTTTATATTTATTGAGGGCTGCATTATGATCCAGTATGTGATCTATCTTGGAGAATGTGCCATGCGCACTTGAGAAAAAAGTGAATTGCATAGCCTCAGAATGTAGAGTTCTAAATATATCTGTCATGTCCATCTGGTCCAATGTGTCATTCAAGTCTATTGTTTCTTTAGTGATTTTTTGTCTTGTTGATCTATCCATTGCTATAAGTGGAGTAGTAAAGTCCCCTGCTATTGGCACATTCTTATCCATAAGATTGTTTCTGTTTGTGATTAATTGTTTTACGTATTTGGGTGCTTCAGAATTCAGTGTGTAGATACTTGTAATTGTTAGCTCTTCCTGATGGATAGACCCTGTAATTATTTTATAATGCCCTTTTTCATCCCTTGTTACTGCCTTTACTTTAAAGTCCAGTTTGTCTGATATAAGTATAGCTACTCCAGCTTTCTTTTGACTTCCAGTAGCATGATAGATATTTCTCCATCCCCTTACATTCTTTTTTTTTTTTTTAATGTTTTTTTATTTTTATTTATTTCTGAGAGAGAGAGACAGTGTGAGCAGGGGAGGGTCAGAGAAAGAGGGAGACACAGACTCTGAAACAGGCTCCAGGCTCTGAACTAGCTGTCAGCACAGAGCCCGACGCGGGGCTCGAACCCACAACCGTGAGATCATGACCCAAGCCGAAGTCGGACGCTTAACCAACTTAGCCACTCAGGTGCCCCAGCCATCCCCTTACATTCTATCTGAAGGTGTCCTCAAGTCTAAAATGAGTCTCTTGTAGACAAGATTTTGGTGGATTTTGGTTTGTTTGTTTGTTTGTTTGTTTGTTTTTACCCATTCTGCTACCTTATGTCTTTTCATTGGAGCATTTAGTCCATTTATATTCAGTGTTATTGAAAAATATGGGTTTAGAATCATTGTGCTCTCTGTAGGAATCATGCTTGTAGTGGTGTCTCTGCTACCTTGTGTTCCTTGCAACATTTCCCTCATAGAGTCCCTCGTAGGACTTCTTATAGGGCTGGTTTAGTGATGATGAATTCTTTGAATTTTTGTTTACTTGGGAAGACCTTTATCTCTCCTTCTATTCTGAATGACAGGCTTGCTGGATAGAGGATTCTTGGCTGCGTATTTTTTCTGTTCATCACATTGTAGATTTCTTGCCATTCCTTTTGGCCTGCCAAGTTTCAGTAGATAGGTCTGTAACTACTCTGATAGGTCTCCCTTTGTATGTTAGGGCCCTTTTGTCCATAGCTGCTTTCAGAATTTTCTCTTTGTCCTTATATTTTGCCAGTTTCACTATGATATGTCATGCAGAAGATCGATTCCAGTTACATCTGGGGAGAGTTCTCTGTGCCTCTTGGATTTCAAAGTCTGTGTCCTTCCCCAAACTGGGGAAGTTCTCAGCTATAATTTGTTCAATTACCCCTTCAGTGCCTTTCTCTCTCTCTCTCTCTTCTGGAATTTCTATGATACAGGTATTGTTCCATTTGATTGTATCACTCAGTTCTTGAATTTTCCTTTCGTTTTCCTCGATCAATTTATCTCTCTTTTTCTCGGCTTCCTCATTTTCTATAATTGTGTCTTCTAATTCCCTATCCTCCTCTCTGCCTCTTCAATCTGTGCATTGGCTGCCCTCATTTTATTATGCACCTCATTTATAGCATTTTTCAATTCATCACAAGTATTTTTAAGCTCCATTGTCTTTGTAGCAATAGCTTCTCTGATGTCTTCCATGCCTTTTTCAAGCCCAGAGATTAATTTTGTGACTATTGTTTTAAATTCTTCAGTGATATTGCTTATATCTCTTTTGAGTAGTTCTTTTTTTTTTTTTTTTAATGTTTTATTTACTTGAGAGAGAGAGAGAGCATGAGCAGGGGAGAGTCAGAGATGTAGGAAGACACGGACTCTGAAACAGGCTCCAGGCTCTGAGCTGGCAGTCAGCACAGAGCCCAACATGGGACTCGAACCCACGAACCATGAGATCATGACCTGAGCTGAAGTCAGATGCTTAACCGACTGAGCCTCTCAGGCGCCCCTGTTTTGAGCAGTTCTTTAGCTGTCACTTCTTCCTCGAATTTCCTTAGAGGACAGTTCTTCCGTTTTGTCATTTTGGCTAGCTTTCTGTCTTTTGTCAATTTTAAAAGCTTGTTATGAGCTCTGCACCTGCAAGTGCTGCTATGTTAAAGAAGGCTCATTGACTGTCCAGGGTCTGTCCACTCAGGAAGTGTTCTTTTAATGGTGTCTCTTAGTCTCTTTTGTTGAAACTTTGGTTATTTTATTTCCCTGCTCATAGTGGTATTTGTGAGTCTCCACCATGTGTGCTTTGGTTTGTTTCTTGAGGTAGCCCTGAAAAGGAAAACAGACAGACAAACACACTGGGAACAAAGGCACACAAATGCACAGACAAATCCAACAAACAAGCAAACTGAAAGGGAAAAAGAAAAATAAATGAAAAAACCAAAAGACAAAGGACAGTTTAAAAGCATAAAATCAGAATTCCCAGCTACAGATAAAGAGCAGGGTGTATGCAGTGCTGATGGAATAGCATATACAAAGAAAAAAATGACAGGGATGGGGAGAAAGTGAAATTGGACAATCACCAGTTAGAGAGACTAAGAGGCTTAATTCAGAGAGAGAAAGAGGAGAATATGGTAGGAGGTGAGGAGAAAGAAACAAAATGTTACCCCCCCCCAAAAAAAAACCCATATGGTCTGATTATTCCCCAGAGAGAGAGAAAGGAAGGTAATGACAGAGATGTAGAATATGCATCTAGAGAATGGATTAAATGTGACGGTTTAAGCAAACCAATATCCAGAGTGTCCAGTCCAGCAGGGATAATAGGATGAGGGAAAATATACCTGAATAGAAGAATTGATCTAGAGTTAATCACAGCAATGCATCAATGTTGGTCTTGCCCCCAGCTCCAGTTTAAAAAAAAAAAATCAGCTCTCCAGCACAAATGGACGTGGTTTGGTATAGGCAGGTCTCACCTCCACTGTGGGTCCGCAGGCTGCTCCCTGAGGACCCTCCTTGGTGGTTGTGGGGAGAAAAATGCCCCAGTCTCTTCTGGAACCACGTGTTGGAAATCACTCTTTTGGGTCTGATTTCCCTGTGCTGTGGGCGTAGCCAAGGTGGGCCGTGTTCTATGTCCCAAGCCCCACCTCGTTTCCAGATCTCAGTATGTGTGCTTTAATGATACTGCCTGAAATGTAATCCCACAAGTTGGGCCACTTCTCAGCCAGGGATCAAGGTGGGAGAGCAGCAGAGCAGTTTCTCCTGGTGCCACCAGGGACCAGGGCACCCAGCCCAAAAACAGTGCCGCAACTAGAAATAGGATCACTCTCTGAATGCCCTGTGGTTATGAATGTGATGATTGGAGCCCTCTCCATCCCAGGCCAAGGTTTTTCTCTTCTTTAGGAATAGTTCTATGAGCAGTTACAGCTGCTCTTTCTCTTTCCCTTCCCCACAGAAAGGGGGCTCCCTCCCCTCTGTGACTCCGGGTCCTGGCCCATTTTTATCTTCTCCAGTTCGCACTCACACACCTATGAGGCTGTCTTCTTAGTGGACTCTGTCTCTTTTCCTCCCAGACTCCTGCGATTCAGTGTCTTATGGCTTCAGGCCTTCTCTGTTTGAGAGATGCAGGCAAGAGAAATGTAGGGAGCTCCCTACCTCTCACTATCTTGCCTCAGGTCCTGCAATTGTTTTTTATATGGTGATTATGTACATAAATGTTGAGTGCTCAAGTGGTGGAGTAAAATAAGTCTATAGATTAATTTACTCAGTATCTATTCTGTTACCCTTCACCCTTGTATTTCAGTAAAACAATATTTCTCAGGCTTCCTTGATAAAGTACGGTTCCAAATATGGTCTAGCTTAGGCCAAGCAGTAGCGTCAGTATAAGACTTGGAAAAAAGACATGAGCAACATGGAATATTGAACATAAGTGGGGAGATACATATTTCTTTTATGCATGCTTCTGTAACTATTTGGTTCTTTTAGTTCAATTCTGGTAGAAGGTCACTGTTTGGTTTAAAGTATCACAAGTGTAAAATGCAATAGCATGGAAGTAGTGGTTTTCTGATGGAAGAATTTTGTGATATGGAAAGTTATCTTTCTTAGCTGCAATTGTTTTTCATGTAGCATTCACATCTGACTTTCTAGTTCTGCATTTTCATTAGCTAGTTAAATAAACTGTAATCTATCTGTTTCTGCTTAAACTATCTAGAGAGATGTGATTATCTGTAACTCAAAATCCTAAGCAACAAAAATGAATAGATTTTCCACATCATAGTGGTTGAGAGATCCTTATTCAAGAAATATCACTAATGAGGGGAACACAAATTAAAATCACAAGAGATATTGTTTCACACCTATCAGAATGGCTATTCTCAAAGAGATAAAAAATAACAAGTGAGAATGTGGAGAAAATAAAGCACTCGTTCACTCGGTGGAAATATAAATTGGAAAACACTACAGAAAATGGTATGGAGGTTGCTCAAAACATTAAGAATAGAATTGCCAGATGACCCATCAATCCCTCCTCTGGATACTTATCCAAAGGAAATGAAAACAGTATCTAGAAGATATATGTGTAAATTCATGTTCATTACAGCATTCTTCACAATAGCCAAGATATGGAAACAACCTAAATGTCCATTGATGGATGAATGCATAAAGAGAATGTGACACACGTAAGCACATGTGGGAGTACACGTGTGTGCGCATACACACACAAACGATGTGAATTGATAAATATGTTAATTACCTTGATCTTGGTAATCATTTTATAATGTATATCAGATAATCACATTGTACCTTCTAAATATATATAATTATATCTATCAGTTATTCCTCAGTTAAGCTGGAGGAAAGAAACATAAAAGGGTGAAGCAAGTTTTAAGATTGTTATAGTCCATGTACAGCTTCCTTTTATTTTGTTGACTTTAAATTTAGTCATTGCCATATACCGTTTAAGCTAACTTCCCCATGACTTGTATTCTCCTGGCAGCCAATTTCCAAAAAGCAATCACAGAGCAGGATTTCATTTTTAACCAATGGATGAATGCCACAGAGAAATCACAGGCATGCTTTCTTTCATTTTTCCAAACAATTAGAGTTGTTCTTACTAGAACCATTCCAGTTAAAGGTCACTTGCTATTTCTGTTCAAAAACTCCCTTTCAAAGGTATATTTCTCAGCCATTAAAATTTACTTTAAATGTACAATTGATGGCTGTCTAGGTATGATCATTTTATTGAAAAATTATAAATATACATTTATTTACATGACACTTAAAGAAAAATAGTATCTATTATAAAGGGTAACATTCAGCATCTATTGGTCCATGAGAATTTGTACTTTTTAATTTTCAAATTATATATTTTAATAAAAATGAGTCAAAATGACAAATCTACTGATTGTGATAAAATTCTTAGACTACAATTTATTTATCATTTCAGATCTAACTCTTCTAATGGAAAAGGGCTTAGATTAGTATATATGTGTGTTAGGAGTAGAAAGGTGATCTCTCCTATTAAATAGATATGATTGTGGTGATTCTTCACCTTCAGAATAGGTATCAATCATACCTTACTGACTCAGGAGTAGGACAAAGTCTGGTGTTGCATCACATGGCTTAATCTTCCTACTTGTTTGGGCATTTGAGACTAACTCCATTTCTCTATGCAGTAGATGTACATAAAAGTATTCATCTTAGCCATCATGTGGCCAGATGATAATCTCGGCATTTTCATCTGAATATGAGTCATTTTTGAGTACTGGAGAAAATGTGGGGTGGCTTTAAAACATGACAACTTTTGATGCTACAGTGAGTATTATTTTTTACTTTATTTCCAATATCTCTGTTGCTAGCATATAGAAAGACATACGTACAAACATTCTCACAGGCAGCATAGAAGTTTAGGTAGATAGATAGATGCATACATTAAATTAATGATATTTTTCCACACATCCAAGGACTTTACTGTGTAGAATTTTTTTAACTTTATTTATTTATTCATTTTTAGAGAAAGAAACAGAAAGAGAAAGAGAGACAGAGACAGAGACAGACAGAAGGTAAGGGGCAGAGAGAGAAGGAGAAAAAGAATCCCAGACAGAAGCAGGCTCTGTACTGTCATCACAGAGCCCAACAGGGGCTTCTCTCAGGAGCCATGAGACCATGGTTAAAATCAAAGCTAAATTCAAGAGTCAGATGTTCAACAAAGTAAGTCACCCAGGTGCCCGTACTATGCAGAATTATTAATTCTAACAGTTTTTCTATAGATTTTGCTGGATTTACTATGCTAATTGTTATGAAGTCTACAAATAACATTTTTTTTTATTGTGTTTTTCCAGAACCTCAAATGAATGCTGAATAAATGTGGTGATTCCAGACTTCAGGGGAATGCTTTAAATATTTTACACTTTTTTTCTGTTAGTTTTATGTTCGCATTTCTTTCTGCCTGAGAAACCTCTCATCTTCTGATTCAATCAGAATTTTAATTATGATGATAAATCTGTCGAATAGTTTATTGAATGTTTAGAGAGGATCATGTGATTCTCTTTTTTACTATGATGCTAACATCTTGTAGAGATTGATTATAGATTGTCACATTAGCACTTCCATTTGTGGAATAAGCTCCACTTTTTCATATCGATGACTTTTATTTGCTAACATATTATTGTATTTCATGACAGTGTTGTGTCTGTAGTTTTCTCTTCTGTAGTGTTCTTATCATTTTTAGGGTTAAAGAGTTTTAAGGCTTTATAACATAGTTTTTGAAGCATTCCCTTTTTGTTTTTCTCTGAAAGAATATGTGGTAGGTTCGTGTTGTTATTTCCATATATTGTTTTGGAAAATTAACTAGTCTATATGGGCCTAGAATTTATTTTTGAAATGAGTTTTAGTAGTATATTATTTAAATAGACATTAGATATTTTATATCATTTATTTCTCTCAATTTAAAGTTGAAATTTTTGAAATTTGAAATTGTCAAATTTATTGCTGTAAAATTGTTTCTATTTTCTTTTATTATATATGTTTATTTTTTTAAGTTCATTTAAGTTCATTTTGAGAGAGAGAGAGAGAGGAGAGAAAGAATTCCAAGTGGGCCCCTCACTGTCTATGCAGAGTTCGATGCAGGACTTGATCCCAGGAATTGTGAGATCATGACCTGAGTCGAGATAAAAAATTGGATGCTTAATTGACTGAGCCACCCAGGAGCCATTTTTAAAATTATATTTAATGTGTTCTTGATCTATACTATGCCCTTGACTTAATAATCAATATTAGTATTTTGCTCTCTTTCTGTCCTCCATTGGTGCAATAGCTAGAATTTTATAAATTTGCTTAATAGTTTCAAAAAATTAACTTTTTGTCTTTATTATCTCAATTCTACATTTGCTCTCTACTTTATGTTTATTTTTATCTGTGTTAGCTTCTTCCATCTATTGTTTTTTTTACTAATCATTTTTTTGCTTTTAACATAGAGGCTTTAGGTCACTCCTTGTCAGCCTTTACTTCTAATACATGCATTTAAGGCTATCAGTTTGCTTCTAAGTACAATTTCAACAGTAATACGTATATTCTTTTGTCCTTATACACATTTTAAAATGCTTTAGAGAAGAAAATTTTAAAACATGTGCAAAGGGCAGCTAACAAAATGTAGAGATAGAACATTTCTGGATTTGACAATACTCTGATTTCCACAGAAGAAGAGAATACATCAAAGATTGCATTTTGGAATAAGATTGTTGATATGTATAGGATTTCTTAAATAAATTCTGCTTAACTGACAGGCACCAGTAACCTTCCCCTTTGCCCCAGAAAAAAAT